TGCTGAAGGTGTCCCATGATCAGTTCCCAGAGGGACTGCAGAGGTTTCCAGCTTCCCATGGCACAGACATGGGAATTGAGGATGGCTGAGCTGTGCTGGAGAGCCAGCACAGCCCTGGCATGGTTGTCCCAAAGTCCTTGGGCACCATGGAGCTGTGCAGGTGCCATGGGACAGGGTGTTTGGGCAGCAGGACTGGGTCTGTCCTCTCTGGTCCCTGCACTGGCTGGAGAGGTGGAGACCTAGTGGTGGTGGTTGCACTGTGCTGGGCTTGTTAGCTTTCCTGTCCCCATTGCCCTGGAGAATTGCTTGATGGTCTCAGGTGTTTTTTGGCATATGTGATGGCACAGACAAACCCAGACCCTTAGGAGTCCCTGACCAACCTGGCTCCTTCCTGTCCCACCCCATGGGAAGTCATGGAAGGCTCTGGACCTCTGCCCCCCACCCCTGACAGAGATCCTGCATCTCTCCAGCTTCACACTGATGCTTTTTCTGGGGACCCAAGAGCTGGTGGAAGGGATCCCTGGGCCCACGCCAGGAGTTTCAGCCTGGACAGGACATCACCTTGTCAGGCTTGTGTGTCCTGAGTGGAAAATGTTGAATTTGGGGAAAATCCTGGGAAGACCCAGAGAAACCATTGGTGCTTCCAATGTGGCTGGCAGAGCTGCCAGCTCCACTGTCACCCTGAAGCCCGGAGCACACAGGCAGGAGGGCACTGCAGTGGTGCTTTGGGACCTGCCAGCTCCAGGGAGGAGGAAGGGGAGTGGGACCATGAGGACAGTGTGGGCAGGTGGTCCCAGCCATGGAGATGGGTCCTGGCCTGCTTGTGCTGTTTAAAACCTCCCCTTCTGTGGCTGTGCATCCAAGGGGATGAAGATGGACTTCCCGAGGTGGGGATTTCACGCTGCATGGAGGCAGCTCTGGGTTTTGGAGCCAGCTCCCGTGTGGGGCTGGCCGGGGTGTGACACAGCTGCAAGTCCCAGCGCCGCCGGTGAGTGCCCAGGCACTGCGGGGCCTCTGTCCCCTGCACCCTCGTGGTCCCTGGTGCCACCAGCTCAGCTTTGCTTCTCCTCTTCCTTGCAGCCTCCAGTGGGATTGAGGAAGGAACCAGCAGCTGCAAAGAGGAGCCGGAGCCAGTCTGTGCCCCCAGACAGGAGGCAGGGGCTGCTGAGCCCGCGGGCCCCTGCGGTCACTGCCCCTCGCTTGCGTTGGCGGGTGGTCACCATGGAGGAGATGGTGATCTGGGAGCAGCACACGGTGACACTGAGCAAGGCGAGTACAGCCTGGGGTGGCTGCAGCAGGGCACAGGGTCTGTCACACTGGCTCTGCCTGACCCCTGCCTGTCCCTGCTAGGACCCTCAACGGGGCTTTGGCTTCGCTGTCTCTGGGGGCCGGGACCGTCCCAACAGGACGACCGGGGACACAGCGGTGGTTGTGTCGGATGTGGTGTCTGGAGGACCTGCTGTGGGCCGGCTCCAGTGAGTGCTGGGACGTGGGGATGGGAAGGACAGCAAATCTCCCCTGCTGGGACAGGGCCAGCACCTCTGACACTCTGCCTGGCTGGGGTGGAGTCCCTGGGGCAATGAGTGCCCTCAACACCCTGCCAGTTCCCCTGGCTGGGGCTGTGCCTGGGCCAGAACCACAGCTGCCTTTTCCTTCCCAGGAGGAAGGATCACATCGTGATGGTGAATGGCCTTTCCATGGAGAATGTCTCATCTGCCTTCGCGATCCAGACACTTAAAACCTGTGGCAAGATTGCCAACATCGTGAGTGTCCCCAGCAGCGGGACGGGGCTGACGTGCCTGTCCCCATCCCAGGGCTCCTCTCCCACACATTCAAGGCTTGGAAATTGCTGTAGAAACATCTCCTGCCATAGACAGCTGTACCCACCATCGTCTCCTTCTCACTTTCCACCTGCAGACACTGAAAAGACCAAAGAAAGTCTACCTCCCCATGAGCAAGAGCAGCCCCGGGACCCCCACCGTGCCCCGGCGCTGTGACTCGGACGAGGATCAGGGACCAGAGGGTGCGGATCCAGCCTCGCGCTCCCGAGACGACCTGCACCACAACCAGGGCTACGACGGGGACTCGTCCAGCGAGAGGAGTTCTGGTCACCACCGAGGTGACCGGCGCCACCACAAGCCGGTGTCCCGGAGCCGGAGGCGAAGCCAGGACAGCAGCCACTGGAGGCAGAGCCCGGGCTCGGATCGGAGGGGCTACGGTCGGGGCCGCTCTGCCAATGGCCTTGGCCACCAATGGGACACCAACGGGCTGGCCCTGGTGTCGGGCTTCAAGCGGTTGCCGTGCCGGGATGTGCCGATGAAACCCATCACATCGGTCTTGGTGAAGCAGAAGCAGGATGAAGGTGAGGTCCTCCCACTCCCTCTGTCCCCGGGTCATGTCACCTGTGGCTGTGTCCCCCTGGGGAGGTGACGGCAGGGCTGGTGCCAGGGTCTGGCATGTGGAGGGCACAGCTTGCTCTGCTGGCTGCCCCGAGCCTGCCTGGCCTCAGCCCAGGGTTGCAGAGCTCAGCTTTGGGGCTTGCTCATGGGGCAGCCTTGTGGGCATGGTGGCGAGGTGGGACCTCGAGGAGGTCCTGCATCTGCCTGGCTGCAGCACTGTCCTGGGCTCTCTCTGGTGCAGAGTATGGCCTGAAGCTGGGAAGTCAGCTCTTCATCAAACACATAGTGGAGAGTGGGCTGGCGGCCAAGGGCGGCTCCTTGCAGGAGGGAGACCTCATCCTGAAGGTAGGGGCCCGGGAGTTGCACAGCACTTACTGGGGATCCCATCTCCCTCAGCTTGGGGTGGCTCATCCCCAGCTAGTGTCACCACAAGGGACAAGCCAAGAGCACACTTCTCAGGGCTGGCTGCAAGGGAGGGCAGCTTGGCTGGAGGCAGCTCAGTCCACTGCCCACACCCTGCCCCAGCTCCCCAGCCATCACCAGGGACCCTGCATGGGCTTTTGGGGACCAGCTCAGCTGTGATGCTGAGGAGTCCTGTGGTAATCAACCAGGGATGGTGGCTTGTCCCACTGCCACAGTGGGACTGTACCTGCCCCACTGTCCCCACTGCTCGTCATCCCCTGTGGTGTGTGTGTGTCCCCGCCGGAGCAGCAGGCCCAAAGAGCTCTGTTGTTCAGGTCATGTCAGGGCAAAAGGTGCTGCAGGTGTTTGGGGAGGAGGAAACAGAGGAAGGGAGACGCTTCATTTGCACACATCAGCCAGGCAGACTGCGTGGCTGCTGGGAACTGGGGCCAAAGCAAATCTAGGGCAGATGAAAGGCATTTCATCCTAGCAACCTGGTGGGAAAAGCTGCTGCACAACCCCACAGTCCACTTGGGGCCTGACTTCCCACTGCGTGGTAGGACAGTGCTGGGCCAAGGTCAAAGTAAAACTGAGCTTCAGACAGTGTCTGAGTGGGTCCCCGCAGCTCCTGCCTCCCTGCAGTTAAAGGTGGGAGTTAATTAGCCACGGTCATTTGTTTCCTCTGTGCAGGATGAGGCCCCACGGGGAGGCAGTGAGGAGCCAGGGCACGCCCAGGATAGACAAAGCTGTGGGAGCTGGGGCAGGGCTGGAGGGGCTGGAAAGGGACTGGGGAGAGCAGTTGGAGCATCCCGTTCCAGCGGGGCTCTGCTGGGGGCAGCTTTCCCAGGAGGCACTGCCCTGAGGCCTCCTGCTCTGCCCCTCCAGATCAACGGGGTGCCCAGCGAGGACATGTCCCTGGCTGACACCCAGCAGCTCATCGAGCGGATGGAGGGAACCCTGACCCTGCTCATCCTCCGGGACCACCGGCAGTTCCTGGTCAACATCGCGGACATGGAAGACAGCCAGAGTGACAGCTCCAGGATGGATGGTGAGGGGACAGGGTGCCAGGGCTGGGGGCTGAACACCCAGCACAGGGACTGGGCGGGCACTAATGCATCTTCTGTTGCTGCAGATATCTCTGACATCGACTCTGAACTGTCCCATCCACCATCCCCTGAGACCTCCCTGCGACCTCCAGCTGCTGCTGGGATGTAAGCCTCCTCTGTCTCCAGGAGCCCCTTTCCTCCATCAGACCCCCCATGTTCTCTGCCTGTTTGGAGGGGCTGGTTCTCCTCCATCCTGCAGCCAGTTCACTCTGGATGTGGGACTGCCATTTAGTCCCCAGCTTGCTCTGCTGTCCCCAATTCCCACTGGGCACTGCCTGCCCGTGCCTGTCTGGTGCTGGTCTCTGTGACCTGCCTAAATAATCCTGACCCAACTGTTTTCCAGGGAGAAGAGACGATCGAACAGGGACCCTGTGCTTGACACAACGAAGGATGATGCTCGAGGCCCTGGTGAGTGAGCTCAGATCGGGCTGGGGGAGCTAAGGGCACTGAGTGGTCTCCAGGCTCCTGCGTGTCCCTGCTGTCCAAACCCCCCAGCAGAGCCATGCCAGGTGTCCCCAGCCTCCGCTGCCCCAGCAGTGGTGCAGCCACCGCTGCCCTGGGGACCAGCCCTCCTTCCCTGCAGACCTGCTGCCCACCATGGAGCAGGACGGTCACCGCAGCCCCCAGGCCAGCCCTGCTGCCCAGGCTGCCCACAAGGACGGGTACGTCTGTGAGAGGTGGTGGGGAAGCGCTGGGGGAGGTGGGGATCTGCTCTGGCTCAGGGTGGGGGTGACAGGGTGGGTCCCCAGCACGTTGCTCCCCCGTGGCAGGTACAGTGCGGCCGCCAGGACCGTGCGCTTTGTGAAGGCCCAGAGCGTGGGGCTGCGTCTGGCTGGCGGGAACGACGTGGGCATCTTCGTGTCCAGTGTGCAGGAGGGGAGCCCGGCTGACAGCCAGGATGTCCGGGAAGGGGACCAGATCCTGCAGGTACTTGGGGCTGGGAATGGCTCCCAGTGCTGCCGCTCCTAGACTGGGCCCATCCCTCTGATACCCCCCAGGGTTTGGAGTTCACCTGCTGGGCAGTGTTTTGGGTCAGTGCACATGGTCTGTACCTATTGGGCTGGCTCTGCAGGCAGTGCCCAAGGGGACAGGCCTGTCTCTGGCACCATGCTAACCCAGGGGGTCCAGGCACCACCTCAGCCAGCCTGGAGGCCCTCCTCAGGATTACGAGGGGTTGTGGCAGGCAGTTGGGTGACAGGGACCAGTTTCCTCTCCCACTCTGCCACGGGCACAGCAGTCCCCAGGACCCCTGCTGGTACCCATGCCTCCGTCCCACCGGCAGGGCTGTGTCCAAGTGCTTTTCCATGGCAGGTGAATGACACCAGGCTCCAGAACCTGACCCGTGAGGAAGCTGTGGAGTATCTCATGAATCTGCCACCAGGCGAGGACATCACACTGTGGACCCAGAGCAAACAGGACAGTGAGTTATGACCAGACTCATCCTGGGCTTGTGTACCTCCATCCTCTGTCTCTCCTGAGCAAGCATCAGAGCTGCTGGATCTGCATGGCCCTTTCTGCCCCCACAGGGTGATCCTTATTCCCTGCACCCCCCCTCCTCTTCCTCCTCCAGAGGGGTGATGGGAGGGGACTTTCTGGGCTTTCTGGCACTGTGGCTCAGCCTGGAGAGGCCATTGTGTGCTTGTGTGCTGGGGTGTCAGGTCCTGCTGTTCCCAGCAGTCTTGAGAGAGCCATGGGAGGAAAAGGTGTCCCCAGTGGCCTCCATAGATTCAAGGGCTACTGTGGAGGCTCCTGGCCAGCCCAGCTCCTTCCCAAATCCCTCTAGTACCTTCCTCTCCAGCATCTTCCTCCTCAGCCCCCCTGATGATCCCTCTGACCCTGGCCTCCAGTTTACAGGAAGATGATCTCATCCAACGTGGGAGACTCATTCTACATCCGGACGCACTTTGACTTTGAGAAGGACACACCATCAGGGCTCAGCTTCACCCGTGGGGATGTCTTCCACGTGCTGGACACCATGTACAGGGGCAGGCTGGGGAACTGGCTGGCCGTGCGTATGGGCAGGGACCTGAAGGAGCAGGACAGGGGCATCATCCCCAACCGGAGAAGGTAGGGATGGAGCCAGGAATGGCCCCAAGATGAGCAGAGCCAGGGGATGGCTCCCCACTGAGATGGGGACATGGATGGTGGGCTCAGTGAGAGGCAGGGCAAGGGCTGGAGTAGTGTTGGGAAGCTTGAGCTGGTGAAAGCCCTTCTCAGGCGTGGTGGGGCAGTTGATGCTCTGGTTGTCCAAGGTCCTGGAGGGAAAAAGCTACCACAGCCTCATCTAGCTATGCCACTGAGCAGGGACACTGGCTTCTCCTGCCCCACTCCTTAGAGTTCAGAGAGACAAAGTGGGTTTAAATTCAGAAGCTCCAGGTCCTGAGCCCTTTCCTCCCCAGGGCTGAGCAGATTGCCAGTCTGGAGTCAGAGCTGAAAGCCACATCTGGTGCCAACCCCTCTGGGGCACGAGCCGAGTTCTGGAAGCTGCGGGGCCTGCGGGGAGCCAAGAAGATGCTGCGGAAGAGCCGGGAGGACCTGTCTGCCCTCACAAAGCAGGGCCGCTACCCGCCCTACGAGAGGGTGGTCCTGAAGGAAGGTGGGCACTAGGACTGTGTCCCCATCACCCAGACCCACCCAGGGGACATCAGCCCCAGGGCTGCCCTGCTGCAGGTGCTGCTGGGCTCTGTTCTCCTGGGAGGAGCGGGCGAGTCCCAGACCCACGGGTACCTTGAGATGTGGGGCTGGGTGCCTGGGTGCTGTGAGCTCTGCCCCCAGCCCAGCCTCTCCCAGCTGCTCCATCCTCTCCCCACAGCCAGCTTCAAGCGGCCAGTGGTGATCCTGGGCCCCATTGCAGACATTGCCATGCAGAAGCTGAGCACAGAGCAGCCTGAGCTCTTTGAGATTGCCCGTAAGTGCCCCCCCTGCCAGGGGAAAACTGCATCCAGCAGCCAGACTCTCAGTGTCCAGGACCTGTGGGAGCCCTTTACCTGTGGTTCTGTCCCAGCCCTGCCTCATTGCCTCCTCCCTGAGACATCCCAACACCCGCCTGGACTCATTCACCCTCTCCCCACGCACCATGATACCAGCCAGGCCATACCCAGTCACAGTCCCAGGGCCAAGCCTGGGGCTGCTGGAGATGTCACATCTCCCCCAAGCCCTCACCCCATGTCCCCATGCCCTGCAGCAAGTGTGCCCCGGGACGGAGCATCGTCCAAGGTCATCAAGTTGGACTCGGTGCGGCAAATCGCAGAGAGGGTGAGAGAACTTTCCCTTGACCTTGGAGCCAGGTGGGCCAGGGTCTGTGGGGAGAGCCCACCGCCTCCGTCCCTGTCCCCAGCGGGGCTGATGGCTGTGCCCTGCCCCAGGGCAAGCACGCCTTGCTGGACATCACGCCCTCGGCTGTGGAGCGCCTCAACTACGTGCAGTACTACCCGGTGGTGGTGTTCTGTGAGCCCGAGAGCCGGCAGGGCATCAAGGCCATGCGCCAGTGGCTGGCACCCGGCTCCAGGAAGAGCTCCCGGCGCCTCTATGCCCAGGCCAGCAAGATGAAGAAGTATTGCAGCCACCTCTTCACTGCCACCATCAGCCTCAGCGGCAGCGGCAACGCCTGGTACGAGGCCATCAAGGACATCATCAGGACACAGCAGAGCCAGCCCGTCTGGACGGCAGCAGAGCAGGTACAGGGCAGGGGTCCCTGCAGCACAGCTCAGCCTGCTAGGGCTGAAGCCAGGCAGGTGACAGGACCAAGCACCTGTCTCCCCACACCTGGGGTCCAAGGTCTCTGTCACCCCCACCCTGCAGGCAGATGGGGCACTGGAGGACAGCCTGGACCTGCTCAACCCGCCGAGCACGACAGCCTCAGGCTACCTGACCTGTGATAGTCACGCCAACAGTGACTATGATGACACGGATGGTGAGGTGGAGGACGCCTACGACCAGCCTGGGCTGGCCCGCTCCTCTGAGCCAGTGCAGATGTCCCCAGGCCATGGTCTGAGTGAGCAGGTGGGTCCCCCCATACTGGTATGAGGCAGGGGAGGGGTGGCACAGTGCCCAGCTATGGGGGCTAATTCCTGTCCCCTGTGGCACAGCCATGCCCAGCTCTGGTTCCCCAGGGAAGAACACAGCCCAGCCGCAGGCTGGAGCACAAATCCTGACTCTTTCCGGACCCCCCCATCTCTCTGGTCTTCTGCAGGTGACAGAGCAGCAGCAGCAGCAGCGAGGGCAGCGCTATGATGACATCAGGTACCCTGTGCTCCAGGGCCAGCCAGGGAGGGACAGCAGCTGGCCCTGGGAAGGGCCTTCAGAGCCTGGCCTGACCCTGCCCAGCAAGAGACTGTCTCTGCCACCTGTCCCCAGTGTCCCAACTGGGTGGCAGAGGCATCACTGCTGCTTCTCAACCCACAGGGAATATGAGCACGATGCTGTGAGGAAGAGGTTCGTACGGGCCAGGGATGATTCTGACCAGGACGACGGCTACGAGTGGGGCCCAGCGACAGATGTGTAGCAGCACAGCTGGCTCCTCCCAGAGCTCTGGGCAGCCAGGGCCTGGGGCCAGCCCTGCCACAGCCCACACTACTGGGTCCACATGGCAGTCCAGGCAGTGCCACCCAGCACCCCCGGGCCAGGCTGGGCTGGCCCTAATCCTGCTCATGATGACACGGATGGTGAGGTGGAGGACGCCTACGACCAGCCTGGGCTGGCCCGCTCCTCTGAGCCAGTGCAGATGTCCCCAGGCCATGGTCTGAGTGAGCAGGTGGGTCCCCCCATACTGGTATGAGGCAGGGGAGGGGTGGCACAGTGCCCAGCTATGGGGGCTAATTCCTGTCCCCTGTGGCACAGCCATGCCCAGCTCTGGTTCCCCAGGGAAGAACACAGCCCAGCCGCAGGCTGGAGCACAAATCCTGACTCTTTCCGGACCCCCCCATCTCTCTGGTCTTCTGCAGGTGACAGAGCAGCAGCAGCAGCAGCGAGGGCAGCGCTATGATGACATCAGGTACCCTGTGCTCCAGGGCCAGCCAGGGAGGGACAGCAGCTGGCCCTGGGAAGGGCCTTCAGAGCCTGGCCTGACCCTGCCCAGCAAGAGACTGTCTCTGCCACCTGTCCCCAGTGTCCCAACTGGGTGGCAGAGGCATCACTGCTGCTTCTCAACCCACAGGGAATATGAGCACGATGCTGTGAGGAAGAGGTTCGTACGGGCCAGGGATGATTCTGACCAGGACGACGGCTACGAGTGGGGCCCAGCGACAGATGTGTAGCAGCACAGCTGGCTCCTCCCAGAGCTCTGGGCAGCCAGGGCCTGGGGCCAGCCCTGCCACAGCCCACACTACTGGGTCCACATGGCAGTCCAGGCAGTGCCACCCAGCACCCCCGGGCCAGGCTGGGCTGGCCCTAATCCTGCTCTACTCCTCACCACCCAGCACCCCCAAGTGCCTCCTCCTGCTTTGCAGCCACAGCTGCTGGAATAAAAGGGATGTTTTGATCAGGAAGGGCAGTTTCCATGCACGCTGGGTGGCAGGTGAACCCAACACAGCAGGGTGGCCTCGATGGGATCCTGGTCCCTCTGTGGCCAGATGCCTTGACAGGCATTGGTGTGGGAATCAGGCTGGGGTTGTGCCAATGTCTGGCAGTGCCCTGGGCTCGGGGTGCAGGCCCCAGAGCTGAGCCTGCCCTGCTGCCAGGGCTCCTGAAATGCAGCCCCTCGTGTTCCCCAAAACTTTTATTTTTACATCAAGCACACAGGCAAAGTCAGGTCAGCACTGCCTTGGCTGTGGGGGCTCAGAGACCCCCCCAGTGAAAAGACAAGAGCACCAGGGGCTGGTCCCTGGGGCTCATGACCCCAGGCTCCCCAGAATGTGGGACTGGGCCGTACCATGTTCCCTTTTGCTGCACTGAGGGATGTCCCTAAAGGCTGTGACCCAGTGCCTTGGCAGGCTGGGGACAAGCTGTGCTTGTAGAGTGGGTAGAGGCAGCACCAGGGAAAAGCAGAGGTAGTTTCCCAGCTCGGTGCAACAGGTGTAACAGGGAGTTTGTTTGCACCCCCGACAGGCCCCGGGCCCCTAGGGAGGAGTACTGGGTGCTAAGAGTGCTGCTGCCCTTAAGGCTGAGTCTAGGGGCTGCTGGCTCTCCCTTGGGGCGTGCCAGCCTGTACCCACACATGGGTGTGTGGGTTCAGTGCGGTTCTGGGGGGATGTACAAGGGTGAGCCCCAGAGCTGGGCTGCTAGCACCATCCCCACAGGGGGAAAGGCACCACTGGTGAGTGTAAAAGCACTGTCTGTGGTTACTGGATGGGTCCCCTCTCCACCTGCCAGCAGCAGGCCAAGGTGAGGGACCCTGTGAAGCAGTGGGACAGGCACTGTGAGGCAGGGAGGGGGGAATGGAGGGGGAGGAAGTGCCTAAACACTGGCACCACAAGCCCTGACACTGTTCAAGCTGAGTATCAGGCTCCCAGAGTCTCCCACTGTGTCCTGAGTAAAACTGAAGAGGTGCAGCATCAGGCCCTGCCAGGGGCCAGAGGAATCCACGGAGGGTGTTGGGGCAGGAGGTAGAGCCTGTCCTGTCCTCAGGCTCTGGGCTCACTCCTACCTGGCCCCAGGCACGTGCAGCCAGGGCCGGGCACGGCCGGTGGTCAGAGGAAGAGGGGCTGCTCCTGCCCGGTCAGCAGGCGGAAGGTGGAGGCCGGCATGGTCTTGATGTGGACCTGGGCAGAGACACTGGGATCAGCTGGGAGATGCTGAAGCCTGGAGGGCACTGGGGAACAGCTCAGCCCAGCCTGGCTCCATGGGAAGCTGCAACAGCACGGGCACCCGGTGTCACCCAGCCCAGGCTCACCTCGCTGACTGCCTGGGTGAGGATCTGGATGATCTTCTCGTGGGGTGTGGCCACCACGCTCTGCCCGTTGATCTCGATGATGCGGTGCCCCACGCGGATCCCGCCCCTCTCTGCGATGCCCCCACGCATCAGGCTGCAGATCTGGGGAGCAGAGAGGGTCCCTGAGATCAGAGCTGTGCCCACAGCCCCGGGCCATGTGTGGCCAACGCCCCAAACCCCCTCCTCTCTGCAGGCTCCGGAAAGAGCTCTGGATGTGGGTGCTGTCTCCTCCAGCCCACAGGTGTGCAGCGAGGGCAGGGATGGCCCTTTGCATTGCTGCCATCAGAGCCACCGTGCTGAGCTGTGGGGCAAGGGCAGCCCTCAGGGTTTTGTTCCCCCTGCTGAGCTCCCTCCTGTCCTCCCATCAATCCCTTGTGCTTCCATCAAGCCTGGGCTGCAGAACTGAAGCTTCTCCCTGGGGCAGCAGCTCCTGTGTGCCTGTGGGGTAACTGACTCTCCAACACTACCAGGAGCATCTGTCAGTGCATGATGCAGCTGTGCCATCCCCTCCACTGCCCACCCCATCAACTCCTGCTTGGCCTGGAAAACCTCCTCTCTGGCTTTCCAATGCAGCCACTGGAGCCCAGTGCAGGGAGTGGCTGTGGCACCAGGGACAGCAACAAATGTCACTAAGGTCACAGAAAGAAAGCCAGGAAGAGACTGCAGCCTGAAAGCAAGAAACTGAGGAGCACCAGGGACATGGATCCAACCACCAGAGCTTCAGGAGAGCTACAAAGAGCTGTGGCACAGCAGAGCCCTGTGAAACCTTGGCCCTGGTGGGCCCAGGGAGCCCTGGAGCTGTGCAGATACAGCCTGAACTATGTGTGCCTCTGCCAGAGGGGCAGCTGAAGCCCTGGGCTGACCCCAGCCTGCCCCTGCTCCTGTCCCCACAGACACTCACCACGCCATTCTCAACACAGAAGCCCAGCTGGTACTTGGAATCGGGGCGCCGGATGACAGCTGTGGTGACAGGGGGACAGTGCACAATGTTCAGAGTCACCTCTGTCTGGTGTTTCAGCTCCTGGAAGATGGGACAGGGCTTTGTCAGACTTTGGAGAGCTATTAGGTGTGGCTGAGAGGGGCGACACAGCCGTATTGCTCATGGGAGGGCTGAGGATTAGCAACCTCCTTTCAATGGGGAAACTGAGGCACACACAGGGATACTGCCATGTTCAAATTCAGGGAGAAGTCCAGGATGTCCCACTCCACCCCTGAGGCCACACTGTCCTTACTTTCAGCTCCTCCCTGGCCAGGAGGTAGAAGATGCAACAGGTTCCCTCCCGGACAGGTGCCTACCCAGGCCCTGTTATAGCTAGTCCCCAGCTTTGTCCCTACTTTGTCACATCCCCTCCTCTCATGCCGTCAGAGCAGGAACTGCCACACCCCACAGGATAGGTACAGCCTCCCATGCTCCTGCCCCCTCTGCCCCCACAGCCTTCTCTGATCACCCATCCACCCCAAGCCAGCAGCACTGGGGGGCACCCCGGGCTGACAGACACCCCCTGACACCCTCGGGCCAGGCCCTGTCTCTGCCAGCGCTTGCCCTGCTGCCTGGCAGAGGCTGTGGTGGCAGAGGCAGGGGCTGTGGTGGCAGAGCCCGGGCTCACCCGGATGATGCTCTGGCAGGTGTGCAGGGGCAGCCCCACCAGGCTGGTCCCGTTGACAGACATGAGCCGGTCCCCGATGCTCAGCTCGCCCGACCTCTCGGCAGGACCCCCGTGCATCAGGTTGGCGATGACCACCGTGGGCAGGATGGAGCCCCAGCCTGACTCCACGATGGCAATGCCCAGGATCTCTCCCTTCTGCTTCCGGATGCAGACCTGGGGAGGGGCACAGATGGGTTACAGTCACTAGGGTCAAAGACTATGTGTCCAGGCACAGGGGTCCTGGGCTCACAGCCAGCTGGGACAGGGCCCAGTTTTATAGGGAGCAGCTCAGCTGCTCAGTGAGCCATGGAAGGGACAACACAGAGGTGCCAGTGGGTACCCACAGTGTCCCCACCCCTCCAAATCAGCCCCTTACATCCTTGCAGTTCTCCTGCCTGGAGAAGTGGGTCAGCTCTGCATTGTACTGCTCCTGGTCCTCCAGGGCACGGCTGTACTGGCGAGGGCTCAGCTCGCTGGGGTCGATGCTGTTGGCCTGCAGGAAGCGCTGGTAGGCCACGCCAAACGCCTGCCCGATGGCCTGGGCAATGATCTGGGCCTGGGACAGAGAGGGGCTGTTTGTGCCATGAACAGAGCCAACGGTCCCATGGCCAAATGGGAGCCAGCAGCTGCCAAGCACTCTGTGACACCCAGCACAGGCACTGTGCCCTGGGAGCTCCTGGCTGCTTCCCTGCCCCAATGGGCCCCTCGATGGCAAATCCTCCCTGCTTTTCCCGCTGTGACCCCTCCATATCACAGAGGTGCCCAGGCTGGGCTCCTTCCCCTCCACGTGCTTGTCAGGAGCCCCCAGCACGGAGGGTCAGAGCAGGAGGGGGCCCAGGACCCCAGGCCACCCTGCCCTCTCGAGGGACCCGTGTGTGGCCTCACATCCCCCGAGTGGAAGACGTGGCAGATCATCCTGTAGAGCCGCTTCTCCTCTGCCCCCTCCGCCCGCCGGGGCAGCTTCCGCCGCGCCATGAGCACCACGAGGGAGCCGATGTCCGCGATGTAGGAGATGGTCTGGAGGGAGTGATCCATCATGGCCTCCTGGCAAGGGGGACACAAGCAGGGATGTTCAGCACTCCCTCCCCATCCTGACAGACCCCATGGGCAGTCCCCCAGCCAGCCAGGCACCGGCACAGGCACCGGAAGGGCTTGGGATCAAGCGCGCTGGGTGCAGCTCAAACCAGGTCCATGCTGGGCAGAAATCATGTCTGTGCTTAAAGGTACAAACAGCTCCTTTGATCCAGGACTCATCTGTGTCTCTGGGTGCTGACAGTGGACAAGACAAGCTCCTCCCTCTTACTACAAAAGCAGAAACTAATCCTGAGGCAAAGAGCTACGGACATTTCAAGCCTATGTTGCCTGGAGCTTGGTTTGGGAGCTCAGCAGCTCCTGCCAGGCACAGTTTGCATGCCAAGTGGAAGCCCTGCATGGAGCTGAGGTACACAACTCATCTGTGTGGGATGGCTGCAGAGTGACATGTCTCCTCCCAGACACATCCTCACCCGTGGGCCATCCTGGGGCACAACCTGGCTGATGTGTGTGCAAAGCAGAGATCCTGAGGGCAAACAGGATGGTTCCAGCAGCCCCAAAGCCATGCAGGGTGCTCCTGTTCCCCGCTCACCTGTGTGTCAGCTGTGAGCACCTTTATCCTCTGTGTGGAGACAAACAGATCCACCTCCGTCATGGGCTGGGACTCCCCCTCTGGTGCCTGCAGAACAACGAGCCCAGGAAACATCAGTGCTGCTGCCAGCACTCCTCTGGGTCCCTGCCCCACAGCCAGGAGGTGCCCCTGGCCAGGTCCAGAGCTCCATGCCCAGGAAGGACCAGGCTGGGAGCACTCATGCCCCCCTACCCTCCTGCACCTTGATCCTGTCCACTGCCTCCTGGGCCTGAGCCATGCGGACGCTGGTTGGGGGGTTCCTCTCTGACACCAGCTGCGTGGAGCCCAGGTACTTTGCCCCAAAAATCACACCATCCAGAAGATCCTCTGGGTCACAAGGGCCTGGAACTGAGGTATCGGGAGGGACTAAGCAGGGGCTGGCCCCCCAACTCTGAAAACTGGGAGTACCACCTTCTCCTGCCCTTTACCTGCATTCCTACACCTGGCAAAGCAGTTCAGTGCTTGGGAGCTGAGCTCCTGGCGTCACCAGGGGACTAACTCTGACCCCAGGGCTGCTTTGCTTTCCCCTTCCCTCGGGCACACCCTGGCATTTCTTTTTCCTTTCCCAAGCCCAAGCATCCCCCCTCCCCATCCCCTGAAGCACACCCATTCACTCAGCAAAGCGGAGCTGAGATCAAATGATCCACCTGGAGTCTGCAGCCACGTTCCCACCTTGCATGGATGCAGAGCTGGGTGTTCCCTCCCCGGCTGGGACCCCTGGCCACCCTGCACTGGGGGTCAGAGCAGGAGGCGGTGAAGCAGGACTCCTGGATCCTTTTGCTGCTCAAGTATAGATGCAACTCACCTTCTCTGAAGGCCGGGCAGGAGGATGAGGGCTCCCTGTTCTGCAAAGAAACCAGAGAGCAGGTGAGGCTCTGGTTGGGATCCTGGGGATTCAGCCTGCCAACCCTGTGGAGCACCAGGATGGGGTAGGGAACAGCATCCTGGGACTGGGGGGTCACAGTGTCCTGGAGTCAGGGGAGTGGGGTAGAGGGGCACAGGGTCTTGGGGCTGGGGAGACACACAGAGTGCTGGGGTGGGGGGGCTTTTTGGATCCACCAGTCACTTCTCCTGGGCATGCACAGATCAGCCAGCCATGCAAGAATCGCCCAACTGAGGGCAGCAGTAGCCTAAGCCAGTACAGAGGGTTTTGTCTGGCCACCCCAGCAGCATGAGGCCCCGTAAGACCTGAGAAGACACCCCTGGCTCCCTCTGCCCCCACCCAAAAGCCCAGGAGGGAGCAGAGCCAAGGGGCACGTCCTGGCTCACTGCCAGGCATGCAGCCCGTGCACGATGCACTCACGGTCACGCTGCCCTGGGGTGGCTGCTCTGCCTCCGAGCCCAGAGCAGGAGGCAGGGCCACCCAGGCTGGCTCTGGGGAACCATCCCGATTGCCTTCACAGGCAGAGTCAACCTTGCAGAGCCCCTCTCCATAATACCAGCCGCTGGCAGGGCGCGTCCTCAGAGCGCAGCATCTGCAGGCTGGTCCCGGCCAGGACGTCTGAGCGGGCCAGGGGTGTCTCTGCGCTGGGCTCGGGCAGCCCCCCCTCGTAGCACAGCAGGCTCAGCAGGTCCTCCCGGTCGGCCTCGGCGAAGAGCAGCCCGTGGCCGGGCCG